GCGGCCGGAGCGCACGGACCTCCGGCCTCTGGGCACCTGGTGTCGGCCAACCGAGTCCCTCAACGCCTCCACCTCGCAGCCGGCAAGCCCAGACCTGGAGAGGCCGGGAGCCAGCCCAGCACCGAGAGAGGCGGCAAGCCTGGCCTGGAACACCCAGGAACGGCGGCGGCAGGGGAGCCAGCCTGCTGGGGCAGCCCCCGAGCCCTCAGAAAACAGGAAATTCCAGCCCAGGGCTCCTCCTCGGTTGGGGCAGGTAGGTGAAGAGCTGTCATTAAGAGCAGGCGAAATAAATAACAGTTCTCAACACACCACACACTGGGCTCCATTTGGAGAAGCGGGCCATAGCTCTTTCTCCAGGGAAGAACCAGAAGGGGATCCACCAGGGTCGAAATCAGTGGGAAAAAAAAAAGCCTAAACCATGAGTCAGGAGGCAAGTCATGTGCTGATTCTGGGCCTCAGTCTCCTTATCTGTAAAACAGGAAGCCTGAATGAGGCGATCCTGTCTTAGCTTTTGGCTCAGACATTCTGGGGTCGATAAACTTGCAAATCCGAAGCGCTGGATGTTTCACTCAACTCTTCTGTTAATGACCAAGGCTGTCTTCTTCTCTGGAGATTATAAAATCATCCGGACTAGGTTAAGTGTTGTCCTGCCCCAGGGCAGCAGAAAATCAAAAGATAGCTTCTGGACCTGAACCGTACAGTTCTGGTCGAGTGACTCACTTCTGAGTCCCTGAAGTCTCCAGTCTCCTCCAGCACACTGGTTCTCACCTCCTGTCCAGAGGCGTCCAGAGGTCGGCTGGCCAGAGGTGAAGCTTCAGACTGCTGTATTGGTTGGCCTGATGATCATTTCAAGGCCTTTGAATTTCACGAGTGTGGGCTGCAGGGCTCACCCCAGGACGGGGACAGGGGGGTGGGTGTTTGCTGTGCTGTGCTCTCCACTGCATTTTAAACATCAGTCCTCTCCCGAGGCCCTGGAGCCCAGCCAATTTACCATAATCCACAAGGACTACACGCAGATCAGGAGAAACCAGTTTAGGTAGTGGTGAGGAAGAGGGGGCTTGCATTTCCTCTAAAGATGTAACACTCCCAGGTTTCCACCCGCAGTCCAACCCAACTCCAGTGTCCCTGTCCCTCTCAGCTGTAGAATTCCACGGTCCTGGTCAGAAGCAAAGTACAAGATAAAAGCGGCACATTCCTGAGGGGACTGGGGTGGGGGAATGCCTGAGGAAGGCAGGGCCTCTCCATCCTAGGTGTTCCCACGGAACGCAGGGCTGGAAACTCCCAAGTCCCGGGCTGGATCTCCTGGGCCTGGAGAGGCCCCGGGGGTGACTTTGAATTTTCTTGGGACTAGTTATTAACAGTGATGAGGATGGCTTCCTCCTCTCCGGGATGTGTATTTCCCATATAATAGATGGTTCTGCAGAAAAGCCTTTCCCAGGGTCCTTCAGGCGTGGAGACAAGAATGCAACCCAGGACTCCTGACTCACATTCTCAAGTTTAAGTCTCCCACACTCAACTTCCCTATCTTCATATCTGTATGTCTGCCCTCCCTCACACCCCCTCCCCTGAAGAGTCAAGCTGCTCATTCCAAACCTTCCCTCCCAGCTAATGAAAATGCAACCACAGGACAGCAGCTATCAGAGATGTGTGGGGACAGAGGAGGGACAAGGGACAAGGTGCCCAACAGAGAATGGGCTGCTTTAGAACCCAACTGGCTACCTCAGGGGGAGAGGACAGGATGGGACAGGAGAGGAAAAGGTCCCCACTTACACACACACACACACACACACACACACACACACACACACACACACGCGCGCGCTCCAGGAAGGCAGGCAGCAGTGCCTAGTGCAGGAGGTGAAAGAACACCTTCATTCTCAGAGGACACACCAGCTCCTGGCTCCCACTGCACCTGCAGAATCAGTCCAGGCAAAATGCTCAGCCCAGGTCAATCCCCAAACCTGGAATGGCTTCCTCCTCCTCATCTGACCGCCTCCTTCTTCTTGGAAGCCTTTCCTGACTTGCGGAAATGAGACACAAAAGGGCATCTGCCTACACATGGATGTCCCAGGACATCAAGCCAGTCAAAGACCCCAGAGAGGAGATCAGTGCAGGCAGAAACCACTCTTCCTTGTTGGCATCAGCCCCCGGTCAGGGACAAGGTCTCTGTGTTCTGTCTGACAAGATTTACCCCACAGAGATGTGGCAAACAGCTCACTCCTCACAGCCCAAAGGAAATGAAGACAGTCCTTCAAAGCTTCAGGCTGGGATCACATAAACTGTACAGAAATTCCATAAAACTAGCCCTTGTGTCAGTTCTCTGTTTCTTAATGTCATCAGAAACAGCAGGCTGAATCAGTTGTGCAGGGCTGAGACTCCATGGAAGTTCCTAGAGGAATTAAAGTTGCAACCTCTCAGGATGCCCAGTGTGCATTCTGGGTGAGGGTGTTCACGCTTTCCTCGAGGCTGGGTGCACAGGGGCTGAGTACTGAGCAGCCCCTTCTGCTCTGAGCGCGGGCAGATCAGAAGAGCCGACTTTAGACGGACCCACAGCCAGGTGAGCTGGACCAGCTACTCAGACCTGAGAGAAGAAGGCCCTGTGTGTGCAACCGTGGCCAAGGGGTGGCGGGGATGCAGTGCTAGACTCGGTGTGGCTGGAGAAAAAGAGAAAGACCCCTGTGAGGGGGTGACCTGTGAGGCGCTGCACAGAAATAGCGCACTGGTGGGAGGAAGTGGAAGGGCGGCCTCCGTCCCAGGAA